GTTTTTTCAGAGAGATGCCACTGTTAAAAGTTGCCGAACTTTACTCATCATGGCGTCAGCCACATCCACTCCATGTTATACTTTCAGTGCATTTGAAGTTAACTGTATTCCAGGTTGACAAGAGTGGTGCTTATATGGTGGGTTATTTTTCAAAGGAGCGGGGAAATCCAGACGGGAACAATCTTGCATGCATTTGCATTCTTCCTCCGTTTCAGCGGAGCGGTTACGGAAAGTTTCTCATCCAGCTGAGTGAGCTTTCAAAAAGCATTGCGTTTTTACTTTACACGGATATCGAAAAGTTGCTTAATTTGCAATAAAAATGATAAAATTGGGCGCAGATTTTCAGGTTATGAACTTTCAAAACGAGAAGGTTTGATTGGCTCACCGGAGAAGCCACTAAGTGATCTGGGCAGTTTGAGTTATCGCTCTTACTGGTCATGGGTCATAATGGAAGTAATCAGGAGCTGCTCGAAAATCACAATTGCGGATTTAAGTCGCAAAACAGCTGTCCATGCTGACGACATACGAGGTAAATTTCGGACTTTTAGCCGTTTCATTTTAATACGTTCTTTGGACTGTTTGCTGTGCTTTCGACTTACTCTGTGGATGTTGCATTTCAGATACACTCCAGACACTCGATTTAACTCGCTACTGGAAAGGAAACCCTGTACTGTACGTTACGCAACAACTTTTGGATCGCTGTGGAAAAGCCGGAATTTGCAAAAGACCGCGATTACTTCTGCAACCCCGACTTCTGCGATGGAATCCAAAACGAGCCTCCGTGTAACGCTGTCATAAAATCATCAGGTATTGTATAGCCTTGCAGGAAGATACTAGTGTAATGATAGGTGGCCTCACTTTGCAACCCTCTCCCCCCCTACTTTTGCCCGAATGTACCGCTGAGAAACTCTCCACTAAGTGCTGTTTAGTTTTCTCAATAGTAAATTGCTGTTAGTGATGTGTAGTATGGCCAAGGTGTCAAATATCAAGAGACCTCACGGTGAGCAGCTGCTTGTCATTGATCGGTAGGATGCCTTACTGTTTCACTGGGTATAATACTGGGTATAAATGTTTTTGAGTTTTTTACGTTCAATAGTTATTGTTGTTGTTCTTTAATATCCAAGTCCTTCTCGATTCGTTTTTCCGTCTGTTGAATGCATTTGATTTGATCACTCCACTCACCCTACTACCCTCGTGATCACGCCAACATCACTCACCCTACTACCCTCGTGTAAGACTTAAATCACTGGCGACGCGCACTGGGCTGGCCCGTGCGATCATGCGTTTTTGCAATATTTCGCGCCGTAATAAGATCGCTCGGAAACCCAGCAGCGAGAAATTTGTGGGATACTGGTCCTCGAAATCTGGGAAGTTAATTGTCTACGCGGTGTTTGAACAGGGAACATTTCGTTG